CTTGTGTTTGCAGCAAGCACCAGGTATGTCTATGTCATCTGTGTAACATCGTATTTATGAGCCTGGTAGTTATCTAATGTAGCCACATTTTATTGTAAACTTATGTCAGGTGTGCTGCTTCTGGTTTAGCTCTTAACGTTTGTAACTTAGGCTGGTTATTAAGGGCAATGTGTTTTGACTTCACTGCACCATCAGTAGCTCATCTCCCAACGCAGACAGTAAACAGTGTCTGGTTTTCATATCTATCTGAAAGTTCATATATTTCAGCAAGTAGACAGTCAGAGGGACACACAAGTGCCTGTTGGTTCACAGGCCTAATGTTAAATTTTACAAGCAGAAAATGCTTTTGCTCTGAACATTCTGGGCCCAAACTGAACTGGTTGAGTAGAAGGCAGGAGCCCACCATGGTTGGCTGAGGTGGGGCTATCATGATGTGATGGTCAGTTCAATGACAAAACAAACTATTCATTCTAAAAGTTCTTTAATGCTCAAATTTAATAATTCTTTAATGTAATTCTTTAATTTGATAATTTAAGTCTAATACCCCGTTTCAATTCAAAGGGGCTTTATTGGCATGAAAGTTTTAACAATGTTGCTAAAATTACAAGTTATAAGTATAGGTACTTAGTTATTTGTAAAGTTTAAAAATATATATTTTAAAATGTGATTGTGTGTCTGTCATTCACTGTCCCTCATGTTGTGGTATATTGACAGATAATGGGAAACAAGAAAGGTCTCTCCTAGGAGTATTTTTAATTTTGAGGTCTAATTCTTTGAATCCTGACACTACAGAGTAAAAATGCTCTAAAGAAATTTCTTGCCTTTTTTAACACCTTAGGAGAAAGTGTATCTCTGTCTGTTATAATAAATTCGCTTCATGCTCTATGACAGGAACAGCTTCTTCCCCACAGCTGTCTCCTTACTGAACTCTGTTCACTGTTGACCCCCACTGCCTCCATCTATGCCACTACACACACCTCACCCCTTCTCATCTTTCTTCCTGGGACTAATGCAATACACTTCTGTTACCTGTAACACTGAAGTGATCTGTTAATCTGCACATACACTACTCACAGAATACTGCTCTACATATGCAGATACTGTATATTTATCTTGTCTTTGCACTATTTACATCCATTGAACTGTTCACTCATGTAACTTATCTTCTTTTTCTGCACTATTTCATTCCATTTCATCCCATTGCACTAGTGTTTTATAAGCTTACTGTACCTTATTCATTAGCCGTCCCTGGTAGGCTAGCGGTTAAGGTGCAGCGCTCTCGCTGCTGCAGCCCGGGTTCGAATCAGGGTTGCGTCAGGAAGGGCATCCGGTGTAAAATGCGTGCCAAATGTCAACATGCAAGTCGTCAGTGTGATGATTTAATGTGGCGACCCCTAAATGGGAAAAAGCCGAAATTGACGTTACTGTACCTTATCCATTACTTGTAATTTAAATCCATAGTCTGTTGTATATTGTACATTACCCTATATATCTTACTGTAAGTATCAATTGTACATATCATTAGTAAATTAGTACTGATTGTACATACTGTAGATAATGTGCACTTTGCACTGCTGTTATTGCACTTTTGGTTAGAGGCTAAACTGTATTTTGTTGCCTTGTACTTGTATATATGTAATGACAAAGATGAATCTAACCTAATATGGCCTGTAGATTTGGAATCATTTGAGTTAAACAAATTTTATTATTATTTTTTCTCTTTTCAGGTAGATCTACAAACTGTAAGCCAATTATTCTTATTTTATTGTGGGTTCCCATGTCAGACCCCCTGCCCCCCAGCCCTCGCACCTGTGCTAGTTTATTCATTAAAGGCGTCTTGTTGAAATACTGTACTGTACCACCACTCTGTCTGTACTCAAGTCCTGAGTTTACTGTGACATCTGAGCTTGAGTGTTTAGTTCAGGTGTTTTTGCCGGCCCTCCATGCCCAACTCTCTTTCCAACATGGCTGCTCTGCCATGACTAATTATATTTTTATGCGTCATCCGATCGAAAGTGGGTATTTGTAAATAGATTTCTGTAATAAGCATAGATCTAGGCTGCCAGGAGTTTTATCTGCAGTGCTGGTCTATCCCTATCACTTACTCACTCCCGCGCCGTCCATTCATCTCCATTTGAATTTTGACAACATTAATCTATGAAAAGTATGTGGTTTTTCCTTCTTCTCTAACCTGGTTGGTTCTCCTCTAGGTGGCTGCCTAGCCACATCGATTTTCTTACATTTTCATGAAGATATTTTGCCATCGCGTGTCCGTCCGTTAGACTAAGATGGCCACCGGTCTGTCGGTTTGTTACGTCAAGCATCGGGCCATCACAAAGATCTAGAAAAGGTATGTGGCTTTTCCTTACTCTCTAACCTGGCTGGCTCTCCCCTGTAGATGGCCGCCGCGCCACAATGATTTTATTTTTATTCTGAATATCCTCTGTCAACGTAGTGCGTCCGTCTACATGTGTCGGATCTCTAAGACTCTCTCTCTCTCTCTCTCTCTCTCTCTCTCTCTCTCAAAAACATGACCCTGGTGTCATGACTATTTCTGGCTAATCTGCTTGACTGTGTATTATTGCAATAACACTGATTGTCAGGAAATCAACAAAATTGTAAGTGCCACTTTTATTATTTTTCCTTGTTGCGGCAGCACCTGCCTGCCTCTCTCTGTCTTCCATTTACGATTTTTATTTGCAAGTAAACAATTCTGGTCCTGATCATTTTGGATAGTCTCAAACTCAGGCAGTTACACGTTAGCTCATTAATGAATTTTTAAATGGGTACTGGGAGCGGCTGAATGAACCTTTCCTCTGGAGTTGATAATGTGCATACCCGGGAACCTCTGAAGAACCTTGCCGGTGAGGGGTGCCCCCCCTATCCCATCTGTGTGTTTGTCCAGCAAAGTCTTTCTCTGTTTATCTGCACATCTTCATCTGTCTTTGACTTATGTTTGTCTGTTTCAGTCTCTGTTCATGCACACTTGTCTCTATCTTTTGTTTGCATGTTCTCGTCTGTCTGTGTCTGCATGTCTGTCTGTCCCTAAGGGTAGCCGGAGCCACGAGAGTCTGATTATAAAGGTAAGGCACTAAACTTTGTTTAGACAGTCCTGTCCTTCAGTGTCTCCTACAGGTGTGTGACATGAGACACCACAACAATCAGTGCTGGGCGTGGCGTGGCGTGGCGTGGCTGGGTGCTCATATGGTGAGGACTGACAAGACACAGCTTTTTGTCTGTCCAGCATGGTTGCCATGGCGGCTTACAGTATATTTGTTTATGCGTCTCATATCATCCAGGTGGAGGAGTTTTGGTCACTAACCATCTGATGACCTCCATGATGTGGGACCGGTTTGCTGCTGTAGCACATCCAGATATTCTCATAAAGGAAGTATTGAAGGGACTTAGCTTTATCTCTCTCTCTCTCTCTCTCACTGCCTCTGTCCAACATGGCCCTCTATTCTGTGTTAGTCTACCCCCTGTAGGACATGAGACAGAGTTTAGTTGTTAACCATCTGACGTCCTCATGCCGCTCACCAGGGTCACATACAGTCAGTGTATACTTCAGGCATTTTAAAAGTCCTGCACTGCTTTGGTTATTGGGGTAAACTAAACCTGAGATCGGCCTGAGGCTGCCTGTTACTCTGTGCTCACGTTATACTCTTAACACATTAGATTAATTGTCTGTACCACTATCTGGGATACTGACTTTCTCTAGTGCTCATTCGGCCCATAGATAATCTGGTAGAATATATTTAAAATCTTTGGCACGTGTGATATTCTGTCAAGTTAAACGTTAGATTAGATAAACTGGGCTTTTTCCCCCCAAACATAAGCTGCACCTTGTATCTTTAAGTGCTGTTAGAGATTGTCACTGCCCGGATTTTGATTTAAAAACAGTTTATTGTACTTTAGCATTAGGCCTCTGGGGCATCTCGCTCTGCCAAGTTTCAAGAGTCTCACGCTTCATGTAGGCCCTGTGGTGTTAGAGTTTAGCTTTTCATATTATTAGATTTTCCGGACATTGGGAGGCCTCCAAGCAGGGGAATTTATCCCACTCCTGCAAAACGTTATGTCATTGATATGGGGATACTTTAGACAGTTTCTTATTTACATTGTCGTCGGACCTGGTTTACGTGGTACCAGCTGGGGGTGCGTTTGGGTTCTTGGGAGGGAGCAAGCCTGGCAGAGACAGATGATTTAGATGACTCTTTTTAAAACAAAATTTTAAAAAAAGCTTGTGGACACCCGGTTTGGGCGTTATTGTCCGGGTTGAGAATGACAGCAGTGATACTATGAAGCCTGATGGTCAAGTACACCGGTTGACACCATATTGAACGTATTATTACTGAGTGTTACTCTTAACTTTCTTATTGCAAGATGATACTGTGGGCTGAATTGACTCAAGGCTAACAGGCTTTGTATGGAAGTAAGAGAGGAGGGAACTGAGGGAGAACTACAGGGACAGTACCTCAGTTATTAACATGAAAATTGGCTCTTACAGTATGTCTTGTCAGTACTTAGCTTGGCAGCATGAATTTGCCTGTCCTCTTTTCTAACTCCACGTATTCCTACACAATGCACACTGACGGTGTTTTCTAAACTGACATGTAAATTAGAAGTGACAGTGTAGAGAACAAACATGGGAGTCAGTTGTAGTGTCAAATCAGTGATAGTTAACAGTGCTGCAGTATATTGCTTTTAGGGAACATTACAGGTTGTGTTTATCTTGTTAAATCAGTGCAGAGTGACAACCAGTTCTAGGGTTGAGGAAGCCAGGGCTTCTCAACACTACAGAGAACGAGGTCAAATGAGTCAACTTGCTTCATAACAGGCTTTTGTCCTTCCCCTTCTCAGTGTGTGAGAGAGTCCAAGCTTTCAAGTTATTGGTAGTTTGGACAGTTGTTGAGTTCCTCTTTGAACCTGTATATTTGCTGGAAAAGTGACTGAGGTAGTCAGAATTGCAGGTACCTAGAGAAATAAGGCAGAGTCAAGGCAAATACAGGCTAGATCATGGACCCCTACTGAGCTGGAGCATTGTCTAGTTTTGGAAATTGCACAACCATGGCACAAGGATCCCTCTGGTTTTGTGAATCAGCTGACATGGTATGCCATTATGATCCTACTAAGAGAAGTACTTTGCAATTGATGCTCACATCTTTAAGGGGTAGATTTGGTGAGACAGAGCCAGCTGTGACTATTGCAGTTCAAGATGAGGATGCACAGAGTAGACTTAGCTGCACAAAGGTGTATAAAACTCAGTTGATGTATTGTGCCCCTAGGCTGGGAATAGTGGAGAGGAACAAGAAGCAGCACACCCCTCACTTCCACTCATCTGTATTTGAGCTTTACATTTTTAGACTAACAAACCTACATTTCTGGTCCTCAGTGAACACACTTGGTTTCAGGACCATGCTTGTGGTGACTAGCTTTTTTCCCCTCCTCCTCTTTCTAAACTGACTGTACTGTTTCATAGCACCCTAGTCGAGTATCTGAAAGCACCAGCCAGGGAGAGTAAAGCTACTGTGGGGGGACAGTGGATATATTCTTTAAGTTAGAGGAAAGTACTTCCTGGTTGAAAAGTTGCAGTTTACCAAGCTGTTTCCTGTCCTGCCAGAAAAGCTGGTGTGGGATGCTGGGACTCAGAAGTTGATGTGTTAAGCTGTGAAGAAGATGAAGACCCTGCTGTACCAGACCCTCCGTCAACAATGACTCCTCTGCACCACAAGTTGTTGATGTCTTCATATACATCAGGTATCCACCTCTGTCCACTTCATTAAATCTTTGTCTTTGTACTTATCATTGAGTGACACTTTTTAAACCCGTGATGCCCAACCTTAGGAAACTGAAGCTGGAGAAAACAGCCTGGTGATGAAAAAGGGACCTTGAGGAGGTGGCTGCAGATGTCCACACCGACATGTTTGGTCCTGAGAGTTGAGAATGACTTGATAAGATCTTGAGGGACTATATCAGTGAAGGGAAGGTTAGTCAGCTTTACCTGAGTCCACCTCTGCCTTGGATGAGATGACTGCAGCAACTGAACTGTAACCTTTCCTCTGGTGATGATGGATTTCTATTTTTAGCTATATA